GATTTTTGACCATTTTTTTAGTGTAACTTTTTGGTCTAGGCCGAGCCCAAATCCAAAACAAAACATGAAAAGATGTGTACAAGAAAAAAAAAACAATTAAAGAAACATGATTATTTTTAAATTTGGTATAAGACCAATAAATACAGTAAACCAATTCGTACAAGGGTGTTTCAATTTAACTAGTAATCTTAAATTGAATTTTGACTATACAAATGTATTAAATATTTGAAGAAAGAATTTTAATTAAATTTTGATTATACAGTTGTATACATTTGTATTAAATATTTGAAAAAAGAACTTTTAATGAAAAATATATGTGATCTATTTAAAAAAAAAACACTGTGATAATGTAAAAAGAATACTTGTACTTCTATGTATTTTTAATAAATAAAATTAAATTAATTAAGATTGAATAATATCTTCCGGTTAATAATTGAAAACGATTTTGAGTAGTTATAATGATAAAATAAGATATAATATAAAAGTTATATGAACAAAATAGGTCTAATACTTTTTTTTATTAAATAGTCTAAAAATTTGTACACTAAAAAAGGATATTCCTTGTATTATTAATATATACATATATATATATATATATATATATATATTAAAAATAATTATCTTGAATCAAAACGTTTTTAAGTGTTTTTTTATTCGACCAAAGTGTTTTTTTTGTAATCTTATATTTTTATCTCTTCTAATCAATATTTTTTTTAATTCAATTTCAGTATTTTAAAAAAAAAATATCATTGGTCAAAAGTTATTTTGTATGACAATATAAATTAGATATAAAAATCTAAAATATAATTTGTATATGATTATTGTTATATATATATATATATATATCAAATTGTAATTATAATATCATTATTTATTTAAAAATTATTATTAATTATAAATTTTAGTTATATAAATTTTTTTATCTAATATATTATACACAATAAAATATTAGTAAATATAAAATAATAGAAATGGATATGATATTTTTATATATTTTATTTTAATTTTAGAGCTAAAACATATTTTTTAAGTAATTATAACTTTGGTTTTTTAATTCTTTTTTGCTACAAGAGAGAATAAAAAACAAAACAAAGAAAACAAAAAAATGCAACTAAACTAAACACAAGGCTCTAAGATTCCTATTGCATCAGCTATCCATAGCAAATTCATGGTTGTTGGGGCTTCCTCTATCTCAACAAAATAACCTTCTCTTAATGAAGCTACTTCCTTCGCCAAAAAATCTGCATATGCATTGTCTTCACGTACGCAACATATAAACAATGATATAGTTCCAATCTCTTTTCACCGACTCCTTAATCCACTCAATATAAATTGTATATCTATGATGATAGTTAGTCACCTCTTGAACTAGGTACAAACAATCCGTTTGACATATCACATGAGAGAGACCTTGTTCCCAACAATCACTAGTGTAAAATTAGTATATTACGTCACCCCTTTTATGTCGGAAATACGAAAATCTGACGTAAAAAAAACGCGGTGGCATTTTTGTAATTTTTGCGAACTTTTTACTTCGGACCTAGTAGGATCTAACGTAAAAAGTCAAATCTACGTCGGAGGTACGTTGTGTCCGACGTAGATTTGACATTTTACGTCGGACCTTACCAAGTCCGACGTAAAAAAGGACGCAAATTTGAATAAGAGAGCGCGAGGCACACCGCGCGCATTCACTCTTCATCACTTTTCATTTTTTTCTCTGTAAACCCTCTCCCTCTCCTTCGTTACTGAATCGTTTTTTTGTCTTTTGCAGAGGGATGAACTCTTTGTTACTCATTCGCACATTGTTGCTGCTCCTCAGGTATGAATCAAGGTTTCGTTAGCACTTTTCTATTTCGCATTTCTACTCTGGCTATCTGTTTTATTCGATTTTTTGGTTGTTTTATTTGTATAGGTAGTGGACGTTTTCTTTTGGGTAGTTCTGCAAGCAGAATGGCTTGTTCTGCAAGCAGAACGGGCCGTTCTGCTTGCATTCTTATGTTTTTTTTTGTTTTTTTTTACTATTTTTTACGTCGGATTTCGTAATGTCCGACATAAATTTACGTCGGTTTTGCAGGTCCGACGTAAAATTTACGTCTCCCGCTTCCACGTCGGTATGTTTTCTGACGTAAAAAACTCAAAATGCCCGACGTAGTACACCTTTTTTGTACTAGTGAATTTTCCAAGCCTTGACAAGAGCCATAATCTTTCCATGTATGTTATTGCTCACACCAAGGCTACCAAAGAACCCCAAAAGAAACTTCCCTGCATGATCACACACCAAATCACCAAAACCTGCCTCTCCTGAATTACCTAGAACAATTCCATCCACATTAAGAGTTACCTATGGTAATCTAGGAGACTTCTAGGTCACATATATCCAGTTATGGCTTGTTGCCTGACCCGAGTTGCTTTCTTCAAAAGCTTGCTTAACATGAGAACACCAAACTAGTATTAATATGGTAATATGGGATATGCTATACGGGTTATGCTCTCATGCACAATTCTTGGGATTATTTCATCAATTGGAATAATTAACTTAATGTACATTTTGTCCGTTTTAATTCTCTTTTATTGCAGAATAATGCCAAATCATATCAAGGATATGAGAGAGATAATTTAGCCTGTAGTTTAAGATCTATAGCTATCATATACTTGTCTATAATTACCTATTGATCAATAGAATGGGACACACGATTCTTTTCCATAACTTTGTTATGGTATCCGAGCGTACAAAGTCTCGGTGAGAACGTGTGATAAAACTCTTCCCATGGATAAAGCTGAGATCGAGAAGAAGACCGAATTGGTAAAAAAGATACCTCACCATATTACTTGCATTCAAAACATAATTCAAGAAATTTGGTTAGGGGAAGAAATGGAGGTTTTCGAGCAAATGCAATGTAAGTGAATGGAGAAACCAATGGGAATAATGTAAATGCATTGAGTGGAATGAGTTCTGAACAATGGAAAACTCTAAAGGATTTGTTGAACAATCACAAAGGAACCACAAGTGACAAAATGACAGGTAAACATAGTGAGTGGATCATAGACACAGGGGCCTCTAGCCACATGACAGGAAACTTGAGTTTATTATGTGGGCTGAGAGACGTAGTTGGGTGTCCAGTGAGACTTCCAGATGGAAAACAACTAATGACAAACAAAGAAGGGACAATGACACTTGATGGAGGATTGAAAGTGGAAAATGTGCTTTATGTGCCAACATTGAGTTACAACCTGTTGCCTATTTCTCAATTGACAAATGAAACAAATTGTGTTGTCTATTTCACTAACAACTTATGTGTTATGCAGGATTGCACTTCGAAGATGCTGATTGGAGTGGGTGAACAATGAGATAGACTTTACTTCTTTAAAGGAATCCGAAGTGAGAAGGCACACAAAGCTAATGGAACTTGTGAACTTAATCTATGACATCAACGCATGGGGCACCCTTCTTTCAAGGTCACTAAATTAGCTTCCAACATGAGATGTGATAGCAGTATTTTGAAGAACAAACCATGTGATGTATGTTTACGGGCTAAGCAAGCTAGAGATGTCTTTTCATTAAGTACAAATAATGATGGTGGTAGTTTTGAATTAATACATTGTGATTTGTGGGGGCCCTATAGAACTCCCTCTTCTTGTGGTGCTTCATATTTTTTGACAATAATGGATGATTTTCTCGTTATATTTGGATTTATTTGATTTCTGATAAAAGGGAAGTGTCACGTACATTGCTGAATTTCTTTGCATTAATAGAAAGACAATTTGGTAAACAGATTAAAGTGCTACGTAGCGATAATGGTACTCAATTTACATGTTTGAGAAACTACTTTCATGAACACCGGATAATATTTCAAACATCTTGTCCAGGAACCCCATAACAAAATGGAAGAGTAGAAAGAAAGCATAGACACATTCTTAATGTTGCTCGTGCTCTACGATTTCAAGGTAATCTCCCTATTTCTTTTTGGGGTGAGTGTGTCTTAAAAGCTGGATACTTGATTAATTGTACCCCACTCCAGTGTTGTCTGAAAAAACACCATATGAGATGTTGTATGGTCAAGCCCCCATGTATGATCATTTAAAAGTTTTTGGTTGTTTATGCTACGCACACAACTTAGATAGACATGGTGATAAGTTTGCTAGTCGAAGTCGAAAGTGTATCTTTGTGGGTTATCCATATGGGAAGAAGGGTTGGAAATTATTTGATTTAGATACTCAATGCTATTTTGTGTCTCGTGATGTTGAGTTCTTTGAAACATAGTTTCCTTTCACACATATAACTGGGGTCAAATATGATTTATCTGTGGACTCATCGTTAATGAACGATGCATTGGATAATGATGATGATAATGATTTGGATAATGACACAAGGATGGGAGAAAATACACTCATTGAGGTAGTTGCAAGTTCTGAAGTGAGGGGGGAACTATTTCCTTAGACAGTGAGAGAAGTGATGAGCTCGTAGAAAAAGGAAATAATCCAACTCCTAATGTTGACTCACTGGAGCTTGTTTGTCAAAGCAATTTGGAGGAACTAGGAAGAGGTCATCGTACCAAATTGCCTTCTGTGAAGCTATGTGAGTATGTAACTCACACCATAAAGAAGTTAAGTCCATCTCCAAGTCAATCCACTTCACAGTATTCTTTAGGTACTCCCTATGCTATATCTCACTATATAAGTTGTGAAAATTTCTATGAAAAGCATTGCAGGTTTGTTGCTGCTATTACTCTAGCCCAAGAACTGACTCATTATGCTAAAGCAGTGCAAGATGCCAAATGGAGGCTTGCAATGCAATAAGAACTTCATGCACTAGAAACCAATGAAACATGGTCTCTAGAAACTCTACCGGATGGGAAGAAACCTCTTGGTTGTAAATGGGTATACAAGATCAAGCATAATTCAAATGGCACGATAGAGCGATACAAGGCGGGGCTGGTTATTCTAGGGAATCATAAAAAAGAAGGGGTTGACTATACTGAGACATTTGCCCTATTGTCAAAATGGTTATGGTTCACTTTGTTCTTGCTGTTGCGGCGACAAAGAAGTGGGAATTGTATCAAATAGACGTCCACAATTCTTTCCTTCATGGTGATCTACATGAAGATGTCTACATGAAGCTTCCTCCAGGCCTTCATGCTTCTTAACCGAACCATGTTTGTAAATTGAAAAATTCTTTATACGGTTTGAAGCAAGCCCCTCGTTGTTGGTTTTCCAAATTATCATCTGCTTTGAAAAACTTTGGATTCCGTCAATCGGGTTGTTACCACTTACTCTTTACTCTCCTTGTCCATGGAGTGCAAATGATGGTTCTGGTATATGTAGACGATTTGATCATATGTGGGAACGATTCTGCTGCAATTCAACGCTTTAAAGAATATCTTAACAAGTGCTTTCACATAAAAGACGAGACATTTAAAATATTTTTTGGGAGTAGAAGTTGCAAGGAATTCAAGTGGAATATTTTTGTGTCAGCGTAAATATACATTAGACATCATTCAAGAAGCAGGCCTACTTGGTGCACAACCCGTGGCTACACCTCTTGAGCAGAATCAACTTGGACTAGCCATTAGATGCTACATTGATCAACTTGACAGGTATCAACGCCTTGTTGGGCGCCTCATATACTTGTGTTTCACCAGACCGGAATTGTCCTACTGTGTCCATACCTTGTCGCAATTCATGCAACAACCGCGTGAAGAACATTATAATGCAGCCATTCGAATGGTGATATACCTCAAAGGAAGTCCTGGGCAAGGAATTCTCCTCAAAAGCACATATGATTTCCAACTGCATGGATGGTGTGACTCCGACTGGGCCGAATTTCCATTAACTCGGCGTTCAACTACTAGGTGATTTGTGTTCTTGGGTCACTCTCCTATATCTTGGAAAACCAAGAAACAACATACTGTCTCTCGTTCATCTGCTGAAGCAGAATACCGTTCTATGGCTACTACTTGTTGTGAACTTAAGTGGCTTCGGAGCTTACTGGCTGATTTAGGCATTTCTCATAAAGGACCTATGCACCTCCACTATGATAGTCAGGCTGCTTTACATATAGTGAAAAATCCAGTTTTTTGTGAACGGACAAAGCATATTGAAGTGGATTGTCATTTCATTTGTAATGAGATACTCCAAGGCACCATTCAACCATCATATGTTCCAACACAAGAGCAACTTGCCGACATCAATTTCAGACTCTGCTTAACAAGTTAGGCATTCGTAATCCTCATGCTCCACCTTGAGGGGGGGGGGGTAATATGGTAATATGAGATATTCTATACGGGTTATGCCCTCATGCACAATTCTTGCGATTATTTCATCAATTGAAATAATTAATTTGGTGTACATTTTATCCGTTTTAATTCTCCTTTATTGTATAATAATGGCAAATCATATCAAGGATATGAGGGAGATAATTTAGCCTGTAATTTAAGATCTGTAGCTATCATATACTTGTATATAATTACCTATTGATCAATAAAATGGGACACATGATTCTTTTCCATAACTTTGTTAAGTATCATTGCCACTAAAGAGGCTACACAATCCTTTCCCCCTCAAACACTAGCCTGTTACGTGATTTCCATAACACCCCATAAAGTAATAAAAATAATATTTTCTGGCAAGTACCGTAGCTCACCTAACCAGTCCCTTGTAGTTTGATTTCGCTAAGGTGAATTTAGGATCCCTAGATCAACTTTTAGTCAAACTAATTTAGCTCTAGTGAGAAAAAGACTTTTAAGATCAGTTAAAGAATTAATCTTAAAAGAGACGATATTAAAAATTGATACTCTTAAGATCGATTAGTAATTGATCTTAAAAGTTGACTTTTAAGATTGGTTATCTTATCAATTTTTAAGATCGGTTATAGAATAACGGATCTTGATATAACCAATCTTAAAAGTGGACTTTTAAGAACAGTTATGACATAACCGATCTTAAAAGTAGTGAGTTTTTTTGGCAATATCTTGTTTGTTTTGAGAGATTTCCAAAACAAACCTATAATTCTAGATAACTCATACCAGACAATTCATATGAGATAGTTCATTTGTTTTCAATTAACCAAAATGTACCTACAATTCCTATATTTGTTCTCAATGACCCAAATTACATACAAATGAGAATAGATGATAATTGTCTATCATATATATAACCATAAAGTTTTAAATACAAGTAATATTTAAATGTGGCCTATTGCTAAATGAAACATATATAAGTCCTACCTTGTAAATGCAAAATATAAAACATAAGTCCTAATAACTAGTCAATGTAATTTTCAATGAAAAATGTGGCCTACTTCTCCCTAATATTGTTTATGTCTTCTACCGACCATGGTGATCAATCTATAAATATTTGTTAAGAAATTTGAACAATTAGTGTCCAATGGATCCCAATATGTGAATCCTCCCTATGCCCATGGGATCGAGTAATCCATCAACAAACAATTCACATCGATTACATGTGTCAGTGTTAGTGGTAGTAATAGAGGGATCAATAGATGCATATGACCCCTTTGTATTCACACGTGCAATAATTGGTTCAATCAGTGGAGTACTTTATTGAAATTGTTGGCTAAGTGATTGCATATGCTCTTGTAATTGCCTTTGCATGTCCTCTTGCAGTTGCCTATGAATCTTCTCTTGCATCCAACTAAATTTTTTCCTCATACATTGTTATAACCTAAGAGACCTTCAGTTCCACCAACTAATCCACCGTGCCAGATGATTATGATCCGAGGTAAGTTCATAAGCTATGACTTCCACTAGCAGCCCAAACCCGACTTGGGTGCACAGGATTCCTAATTGCAACAATGAGTATATCCTGGCGTCCATGGGAAATAAAAAATCCCTTTGTGGGTTATTGTTCCAATATATCCTACAATACATGACATAAAAATAATTTAATAAATTCCTATTGATTCATATGTTAATTAGCATCATATGTACAATAAAATTAGACTTACTATCTTGTTAGAAATGTCCTTTATTGCCTTAGTTGTAAACTCACCATTTTTTTTATATGGGTGAACTTCCATAATTCATGACGCGTGGGTGGAGAAGGAGGATCACTAACTGCAGTCTCATATTGGCTAGCTTGACACTTCATAGCCTTCTCTTTCATCATCTTCTTCTTAAGCCATGGATAACTCTCACGAGACATCACAACGGAGATGTCATTCTTTGCTTGAATCTCTTGTGCCTTCTTTCTTTTCTCCTACAAAAGTATCATATAATGAGACTAAAGGTAAAAAAAATAATATTCACAACTATACAAATAACAATGCATATAATCTTAACTTACCAAAAACTCTTCAGTCATTCTAGTCTCTACAAATGCGTTCCACATCTCCTGGTCTATAGTGGGGTTTTTATGACTAGAAAATTCATCTTTCTTTTTCCCAAAAATGTGATTGTTTATAAGGATGGTCTTATTTTCCCTCCAACTCTTAGCCACAATAGAGAGGGTCTTCCTTCTCATGTCCTCTGTCCTAGGAGTGTCCCAAGTTTCCTACATTTATGATAATAATGAGTTAGTACATGTTGATATCCTAATGAAGTTTAATAATAAAAAATGTTGATTATAAATGAAATTTACCATAACATCTACCCAAATATGGTTCTTGACAACCTCCTCTACATGATCCCAATTGGGAAATAAAATAGAAACCTTCAACATAGTTCCTAATTTGCTACCAATTCTCCATAGGAACCTATTATTATATAGCTCTAAAGGCAACTTTGGAATTATGATACAAACTGCCACTTTTGTAACTTTAGTCATGTTCGGTAAAAAGAACAACCTCCACCATTGAACAAGCAAGTAATTATCTACAATCATCCAAGGTCCCTCAAAGAGAGCATGCTTATAATCTTCTTTTGTAGAAAATATACTATATAATAATTCTTTGACAGTCAATTATTTGTATCATTCCTACTTTAGCCCACACCTTTTTTAGTTTATTCTTCAACAATCTAGAAAGATAACTTTTATTCCCAAGAGATGAACCACCAAAGATTTATGCCATAAGGAGCTCCAAGAGTTCAACTCTTCATCTATCACCACTATCTCAAGACACGGGTCTAAAGGCATGACCTCTTCCTCATAAACCTTTTTCTCTAGTAAGTCCTTGTCTAGGACATCTTCTACCTGCAAAAATTCATCCTCACCTCCACCTATTGTAAGCATGAATTTCTTCGAAAAGGAAGCAGAAGCCTCCTTTGACAGAGAAGGAACCACCACATCCATAACACCTTACAGGCACACATCCTCTCTTGTCTTAACCATTTTAGTACTTTGATCCAACAAATATTCTTCATCCTTTGATGCCTTCCACGAAACTCTCAAAGCACTTGTTATATTTTGTGCAATTGACTTTTTTGTTTGTATAATTACTCACATGATATTTTTCCCTTTTATATGAAATTAGTTGAAAAGTTAGTTTTTATAATTTATTTTTAAAAAATAAAAATAAAGATTAAATAAAAAAAAACTTAGATACAATTTCTTAAGTATAATTGGTGTTGTTTTCCAATTAGAATTGAAGATTTACTTTGGTAATATGCACTTGTATTTAATATCAATTTCATTAATATACATTTATGTGGAAATATAAATTTGCATCAAATGCAATTGCATAATGTACTTACTAAGAATTACTATAGAAAATCTTCAATCTAAAGTCCTTAGTCCTCAATCTTTGGGATTGTAAGCGATGGTTGTACCTGTAAAAATGACTCCAATTAAAGTCATTGAATAATTAAAGTATTTGGGTGTTGTGTGTATAATTACGTATACCTTATAAAGATGACATACAAGTATATTTAGATGAAAGAATATTATTGTTGAAGATTTAATAATTAAAATACATTTAAGGTCTTTTATTATCGCATAACAATTAGACGTTAGTTTTTTGGAGACTTCATGAAAAAATGTGTTCAATAGGTCAAATATTATGTCCAAAGTCTAGTCTAATACACATATTACCAAGATAAATCTCTAACTCTTATTGAAAAATAACACACCACACATAAGAAATTATACCTAAATTTGGTCCAAAATAAAAAAGAAATTCAGAATGAATCCATTGCCTAATCCACTCCTCAAGATCTCCACTTGTCCACCAAGCTTCCTTGAGATCCTAGACTCTAATTGAAAGGTGAAAACGCAGCAAAAGAACAAGGAGAAACATGCTCCAATTTTCCTTGAAAAGGAAGAACAAGATTCAAGCACACAAGTAAGGATGACAAGTAAACTCGTAATCGTGGGTAATATCCAAACCCGTCCTGATTTTGACGAGGAATACCCGGTTTGACCAGGTACGGGTACGAGTATATACTTATCGTCCCCGTACTCGTTCCCATCCCCATACTTGGTTTAATACCCATCTCTGATTTAATAATTTAAAAAAATTTTAACATTTCAAAATTAATGCCTCTAATGTTAAGGCTGTCTTACAAGTGCCACATTTCAAAATCCTTGCCCCATATACATTTGGGAGTTAGGGTTAAAAGTGTTGAGAGTTGAGACTCAATCTCAAATCCTGCAACCACACCGCACCAGCCAGTCGCACCATTATGCGTTGTGCTTTCTCCTTCCGAGCGACTCCCTCAGCACGACTGGTACGTCTCTCTCTCTCTTTCAATCTCTCTAGGGTCTCCATTTTGGTTGATTCGCATCTTCCTACATGCAAGCACTTGGTTCGCCCCATTTTTGTTGCACTTTTTTGTGCTTCAGTTTGCATTTTTCAGATAGCCGGGATTCGACGTTGCATTTTTTATTTTGCTGGAAGCCCCTACGACCGCACGAGATTTGAGAGCGTTAGTTGAGTGCTCCTCGCTTAACAATATCCGATAATATTCGGCTAAAAAGGCCTTTTAATCACTGTTGTTTTCAATTGTTTCGAGCATCATTACTCCGGTTGCATTTTTTTGTATCTTTTTTTTTCATATTTAATTTTTCTTTCTACCTGGTCAGCTTCGTGCAGATAGATGTTTGCCAGGGGAGATTGGAATTGCCTGTTAGGCAAATGTTTTACATTGCTAATTTGATTTAATTGAAAAATAATTTTAATAGATTTAAATTTAAATTTGATTTTGTGTGTGTTTTGAGGATATATAAGAATTATACTCTGGTTGTTCTTAACTTGTTTATGGTCCTGTATTTTTTTTTAATGCTAATAAGATATTTCTTTAATTTTATATAATACAAAATGTATCTTTAGTTTTATATTTCTTTAATTTTATATAATACAAAATGTTTCTTTAGTTTTATATTTCTTTAATTTCATATTTAATTATATGTTAGTTTAAATTAAAACATGTTAATCAAATAGGTTGATTGTTTTAATTATATTTAATTACATTTCACTCTTAAATTTTATGAAGTTTGTCGTGAATCATGATTCTTGGTCTAGCATTGTGTACGGATTGTCCTGTTATTATGTTCCATGTATGTCGCTTTGTAAAACTGTTATTACTTAAAGAAATGATTTCCCCACTTCTATATTTTGTAATACTCATTACTGGGATTTAAATTGTTTTAAGGAATTGAGCAAATAAGATATTTTTTTAGTTTTATATTTAATTATGTTATTTTAAATTAAAACATTTTAATCAAATAGGTTGATTGTTTTAATTATATTTAATTATATATTTAATTATATGTTGGGTTTAATTAAAGAATACTAAATAAAGTAAGCTTTTAACTATCAACTGAAAATGTTTCTTTTTGTATTTTATGTTTGCTTTTGGTATTTTAACCATTTTTATGTGAACTTGCACGCTTGTAGAGAAAATGAACAATGAAGATCAACCATCACAAGAACCAAACCCCACAATCTTCACAACAACCAATTCCATGTCAAGGTTCTACTAGTACTGGTCAAGCATTAATGAATGAATTACTACAAGCACCTTCAAAAGCATCTGATCAAGTAAAGTCAAATAGAGAAAGGGAGGCTAAAAAGTGTTGTGTAGCAACATTTTGAAAAGATTATAATTGATGGAAATGATAAAGCTAAATGTAACTATTGCAACAAATTGCTTGGAGGAGAAGCGAGGAATGGAACAAAGTACTTGCACCACCATTAAGATATATGTGCTTTAAAGAAGGCTTCTACAAGTGGGAAGGTGGGACAAGCAATGCTTTTTTCTAAGGTTTTAGGATGTGGGAAAAAGGAATTGGCATGTGGCAGTTATAATGAAGAAAATGCAAGGAGGGAGCTTGCATTGATGATTATATTGCATGAATATCCACTTTCAATAGTGGACCATATTGGGTTTATACGATTTGTAGCAGCAATTCAACCATTATTTCAACTTCTTTCAAGAAATACAATGAAGAAAGAGATACTTGATATCTATGAAGATGAAAAACAAGTTGTCATGAAGCTGATAGATATAAATGAAGGAAGAGTGACAATTACATCAGGTATGTGGGCTGCAAGCAACCAAAATAAAGGGTATATGGCTATCACGGCTCGCTATATTGATGGAAATTGGACCTTATAGAGTATCATTTTGAGGTATAAAGTTTCTTTAATTTATAGCTCTTTTCACTAATTGGTTTTGCATTTTTTTATCTTTTTATATGACAATATGATTAAATATATAGGTTCGTTTATGTTCTTGCACCTCACACAACTGATAGACTTTGCAATGTATTGATTGATTCTTTGTTGGATTGGAATATTGATATAAAATTATCCACTATTGCTTTGGACAATTGTAGCACAAATGATAACATGGTTGAGAAAATTAAGGATAAGTTTTAGTTAGATAGACTGATTCATAATGGATCTTTGCTTCATATGTGTTGCTTTGTACATATCCTCAATTTGATTGTGAAAAAAGGGTTAGGAGTTGTAAAAGAAGGGGTGGAAAAAACTCGGGAAAGTGTAGCATATTGGATAGCAACACCTAAGAGGGTAGAAAAATTTGAAGAAATAGCTAAACAATTGCGATTTCCTTTCAACAAAAAATTAACTTTAGATTGTCCAACGAGATGGAATTCCACTTTTAAGATGCTTGATATTACTTTATGTTATAAGGATGTGTTTTTTTCGATTAAAGCAGCGTGAATCTCAATACACTTGTTTGCCAACTGAATCACAATGGGAGTTTGCAAAAGATGTTTGTGGGAGATTGAGAATGTTTAATGATATCACAAAAATAATTTCTGGACCCAAATATCCAACTGCCAACATTTTTGTAATTTTTATTAATGGCATTTTCGCAATTTTATTAAAGTTTGAGGGTTAAACGGGTAACTTGGAACGGGCTGTTCCAAAATTGGAACGGGCCGTTCTAAGCAATAAAAAGACACTAAATTTTAAGTTGGAAACGGGTCTAGAACGGGTCGTTCCAACAAGGAGAACGGGCCCTTCTGAATGAGTCTCGGAACGGGCCGTTCCGGGTTAGGCAGGCAGAACTCTATAAATAGGGGGTTGGGGGTGTTGGAAAAGCAGGATTGAGAGAGAAAGAGGAAAGAGAGAGAGAAAAAGGGAGAGGAGCTTCTTGCCGCCTCTCGCCATGGTAGAGCGTTGGTTCTTCTGGGTTACTTGGGGCGCAGGAAAAGTTTCACCGTAGCCCCACGGTGGGCGCCAAAATGTTCCGGCCAAAGGGTGGACTAGGGTTTTTTCCTAGATCGTGCCTTAGAGCCAGAGCATTCAAAAGTGTAATTTGTGCTCTCTTCTCTAGGGTTTTTGGTTTTATAGTTTCTTGTTTACAGGCCTCATGGGCCTCGAGATTATCGGGATTCTCCTTAACCGTTCTTATCTTAAAAGTATTATGTTAAACACATAAGGGCTAAATTGGCTCGTAGCCGGCCAGGCCCATTC